ATTTCTAAATCGATTGGTAAAACGGTTTTCTGTGTTTGAAAGCATACTGGACATGTAATTATTTTAAACAAAATAATATAACTGAGCACAAGTTTCCTTGTACTTTTGCTTGTATTCCCCCCCTGAAAACATGAAAAACTCGGAAAAGTATAGGGGCATGAACTCACAGTTTGACGTAGGATCCGAAAGCACAATTAGTTACGAGTGTTGAGTGTCAACCGAGGTTTCGCACGCGAGTGGATCCTAGTAACATATAATAACACATATATGATTACACTTAGGGTATATAGCCACTATTAGACACATGGACACGTCTTAGGGACATGAAAACACTTAGAATTAGGTGTTACAAACACCTATTGAAGTCCCCAATGAGTGTATGGCTTTAGATTTGAGTGTAAGGTCACCAAATCTCGACTTTTATGAGTGTGCGGCCAGGTGTGCGGCCAGGCCATGTGTGCGGTTGCACACAGGAGTGTGCGGCCGTACAGAGGGTGTGCGGCCGTACACAGGAGTGTGCGGCCGTACACTCCTCTTTTGTGTCCGAAACGTGGATTTTGAGGTGCTTTGAGGTGTTCTAGTGCCAATACCAAGTCTAATTAGTAATTGGGGGGTAAAACTCTTCACCTTGGAGTTTTAGTGTGTGTGCGGCCACCTTATGAAGGTGTGCGGCCGTACACCTTCAAAGGATGAAGAACACGAAGAACACTATGAGTTTTAGGCTTAGATTCGAGTGTCTTACCACTATAACCAGCTGAAAGGTGAAGTGGTTCACGTTTTTGAGGCCTTTAGAGTGTTCTTGGATGAAGTCTTTAGAGAGAGAAAGTAGTGAGAGAAAGCCAAAGGAAAGGAATGAGTGTAGGGGTCTCCTCCTTTATATAAGAGGGGGAGTGCGGCTGGGGGATGGGTGTGCGGCCGCACACCCGTGTGTGCAGCCGTACACACCTCTCGTGAGGGTGTATGGCCCGATTTTGATTCTAAACGACGTGTTGACTCATTCCTAAACTCGTTCCCAACTGCACTCAAGCCTAGAATGCTTAAACGGACCCTTAAATGACGTAAAAAGGTAACGAAATCAAGTTTAATGTTGATATAAAGATCAATTGTACAAGATAAAAGCTTCAGGTTGTCACAGATCGTAAGTCTACCACTGGATTTTGCGTATTTCTTGGAGAGTCTCTCATTTCTTGGAAGAACAAGAAACAAGATGTTGTCTCTAGATCTTCCATGGAGGCTGAAATATTGTGCTATGGCTGTAACTACATGTGAGATTATCAGGTTACAGTGGCTGATTACGGATATGGGATTTCACATTTCTTCATCTACTCCATTGCATTGTGATAACAAAAGTGCGATACAAATTGTGAAGAATTCTGGTTTTCATGAGCGGACGAAGCACATTGAGATTGATTGTCATTTTACCCGTCATCACCTACAGCTCGGGACCATTTCGCTTCCGTTTGTTTCATTAACCTTGCAGCTTGCGAATATTTTTACGAAGGCTCTATCGGCTTCTCAGTTTCGGTGTTCTTATGTGACAAACTCTCAATGCTTATTGTTGCGGCATTGTGAGTTTGAGGGGGGAGGGTGTTAGCCTATATATTATTAGTCCACTTATTTATGGGCCCTTTAGTCTTTAGCACATTAGGGTTTTGTCTAGCTAGTATTTATATCCGCTTTATTCTTTGTAGTCTTTATGCTTTTCATTTGAGAACCCTTGTAATTTCTCTTTATCATAATCATATGGCAATGTTATCACTTTATATGTACGGAACCCTTGTGATATATACTATAACTTGGTTAAGATTATTTACTCCAATGATCTTCCATCAAAAAGTCATTTTTGACGCTTATTGTCTCTAAATTGACTAGCCCGAATCTGCGGGCGTTACATTTTTTAAATTAAAAGTTAAATGGGTTGGGAAAAAATATTTAGTTTTATGTGTTGTAAGTTAAGAAAGATGGAAGAGAGAGGAGAGAAAAGAGAGATAAAAGTTAATTTGGAGTTGATATGATAGTGAGTTGAATTTGGTGGGAAGGTCCCGTTTAGAGGTGATAATGGGTCTACTTAAGTTGAGTTCAGGTTCAACCCATTTATTAATTGGGTTGAAGTTTTCAACTCAATCCAACTTGTTTATTTAAATGAGTTGTCATTAGACTGTCCTGTTTATGTAGTTCCAGACCCAATGTACTACATAAATTGATTAAACTTGGGTTAACCCATTTAAATTTTAAAAAAAAATACATTAACTAAATATTACACCAATTAAATTAGTTCCAAACATAAATAAAGTTTCAAAGTATGATAAAAACACAATTCTAATTCACGAACACATATAAATTGTTCAAATAACATTAAAAAATATTTAATTTCAAAGTGATTTTGAAGAGTGATTAATATTGTCGGTGCTAAGAAAAAGAAAGAGAAATAAAATTGGATTTTTTTAAATATAAATAATAACGCAACATTATAATTTATAAATTATTACTTTGATTAAACATGATAATATTCAAATACTTTTTAAATTAAATATATAGTAAAGTTTAATGGATTGGAGGAGGGTTAATAATTTTTACTCAACCCAACCTATTAAATTTATTTTTTTAAACAACAAATATACTAAACTACTCCTAAGTTATTTCACCTATATCCAGTGCGAGACTTGAACCTTCGACCTCAAAAGAGAGGGCAATATCGGATACCGATGGGCTAGAAACCATTTGGGTTAATCAATTTAACTCAAATGAGTTGAAAATCTCAATCTAACTCGCTAATTTTGGGTTGGGTTAACATGTTTGATCGATTTTTGCAGGCTTTAGTTCTGTTCCTCGTTCGTATTAGCACTTGTTTGTATTATATTTTAAAACATTCATATTGATAACTAACTATTACCAATGCTGTTATCATTTGGTGTGTAGATGATCGGTAAGTAACACAATTTACTCGATCAAATATGATTATAGAACGTTTTTAAGGTAACATGTGATTGAAACATTGATTTTTTTTTTCATCCTTTACTAATCATCGTTCACAAATGTTTCTAAAGGTTTTTCGTTTTTGGAATACTTTTTACAAAGAAAAGGTTAAAGAAAATGTAAACTTTTGAACGTGGCACCACAATAACAACCCAATATTCATATCTTTTCACCTTTGTATGTATGTGCACATACATCCATCTTTATACTTATGCATGTATTGTGCCTGTAATCGATAGTATATGCCATTGGGTGGTGGGGTGGAAAGAATGATTCCCTGGGTTGACAACTGACAAATAGATTTTTTTTTTTTTTTTTTTTTTTTATTTTTTTTTTTTTTGGGTATGTGTATGTTATGTCGACAAATTGAGTCCCTTAAATCAACGGACATTAGGAAGAGTAAACTTTCTATAAAAGCCAAAACAATTTTACTTTTTTTTTCGAATGCTAGATACGACTCATTCATAAATATTTCTCAGATACGAATCAGACATATACGACTCTCTTTTAAACAATATTGTTCTAAATCTAGTGATTATCGAGTGAGACGTGAAACACGCTTTTTTTGTTAATTGGTATATGGAAGATAGTGATGGCCCAAAAGGATGTTCCATTCACATTATAAACGTCCTTAAGTTCTTTTATTGACTTTTGGGGAAAACTAAAGGTAAAGATAAGCTTATAAGTTTAATCTTGTTCAGTCAACTTTTAATTAACATGATATATTTATATTTTGAAAATCAATTCTAAAAGATCATGTTTAATTGGACAATGAAATAAGGAGCCTTATTATCTAAAATAGAGTTCGACTTTGATAAGTGTATAATCTTTTAAATGGTTTTATAAGTATATTCCCTAAAATAAAATGGACTAAATATACGATTATTTCACAGTTCACATACAATTTCCCTTTTTCATTGACCAAAGTTTTAGATCTACAAAAAGCACTTATTTTATATTACATTTATTTACTTGATTTAGATCTAAAAAGTGCAACATATTAGGAGTGTAGATTGTAGAACATACTTTTAATCTTTCCATTAAAATCAAGATACATACATCCAAATTGGACACAAACGGGTGCACCGTGCACATGCTCACACCTACTTACACATGAGTTCAAAACAAAATGGTCACACATGGGTGTGATGATTATCACAAATGCACAAATAGTTAAATACCAGGGGCCAAAAGAAGAAAAAAAAATAGAGAATATGATATGCTCAAATCATTAGGGTATTATTGACATGGAAGAATCTTGGGTTTTTAGCCACTAAGAAATTATGGCAACACATGCCTCTTGTCAGGCTCATTTGTGCACGAATTTGTTCCAATTACAAGAATATATGTCCTTTAAAAGTGTTATAATCATCATAAAATCCTAAAACCAAGTGCTAACTTGCTTAATTATTGTCGATTCCTATACACATTAATGGAACCACTTTTTTAGTCAACATGAATGACTTGTAGCCAACTAGTTATGAATGCAACAAATTAAATAGGTACACAAGTTATACACTATTCGTTAAAAAGGAGCATCATACAACTATTTCAACGAATTACACGAGTTATACACTGTTAAAAACGAGTATCATACAACTATTTCAACGAGCATATCCCTTCTCTTTTTCCATGACGAATTCTTATCATGCGTTTTTCTTTTTCTAAATGCACAAAAGGACCACAAACTCTCAATTATTTGGCCATTAAAGTATATACATTATACACACTTTATGGGTGGCCCCCACGATATGAGAAACATCAAACTTGGTTGAACTACAAAATTTTTAAAGAAAGGTCCCTTGCATACTGTAATATTATTTTTGTTCTTGCAAGTTTGATGTGGTAAACTTGATATCTTTAGTCTTAAAAAAAACGTTTTCTTGACTTTATATTAGATAGAAATCATAACTAAAATGTTAAGAAGCAAGATCACAACAAAGGAGAAAAGAAACACATAAACTTTGAATGGAAGAATAATGAATTTGGTTAATAATATGATTACACTTTATAGTTTGTAAACTCTATATTACACTAGAAATACCACTTGCATGCCCTTTTGATGGGGGTATAACAGTTTGTAGATTTTTTATCATCTTATTGAGTTTTTTTAATTTATCTTCATTACCCATCTCTAAATGTCTCTCTAAAACACGAAAACAAGTCTTGCTTAAATGTCTCCCTCTTTCAAGAATCTGTAAAGAGCATTCAAAAGCTTCTTCTACTCTTCCATGAGAACACAGGCTTCTCACAAGAACATCAACAGCATGACTATGTGGACAATAGCCTTTATCAATTAAGTACCTCCAAAAACCCATGGCATCATCAACTTCATGATTTTTGCAGAAAAGTTTCATTAACATTACAACCGTTTCTGATTTGGGGACAAAGTTTCTACTGATCATCTTGTGATAAAGCTCTAGAACACCATCGATTCCAGTTGACTTCATCAATCCTGAGAACATTGTATGAAATGTAATGTTGTCATGAAGAAGATTATTAGCTTCCATTTCATCCATCAATTTAGTTGCAGAGTCGATGTCACGTGATCTGATGAAAGCATTCATTAAGGCGTTGTAGACACCAGAATCTGGGAGTAGGTTTCTCTTAGGTATTTCATCGAACAGTTGTTGTGCATAGGTTGTGTTGTGAGCAATTCCTGCTCCATGGATCAAAGTGGTTAGTGTCTTTAACGTGGGCAAGCAGTTTGCTTGTTCCATTTCTTCAACAAGTTTTAACCCATCTAGAAAACGACCTCTTTTGCAGTAAGAATCAATTCTGATGTTGTAAGTTACAATGTTGGGCTTGAAACCTCTTCGAATCATCTCATGGTAGAAAAGCTCTACAGAAGTGACATCACCAGATTCTTTAAATCCAAGAAGCAAAATATTCATTGTTTTGGTTGTGGGGGAGAATCGGGAATATAGCTTGTTGAATACTGACTTCGCTTCCTTCATTTGCCTCTGTGTGCAGAATGCTCGAAGGAGAAGATTGCATTCATCTGTACCAAATTGCTTGTGATCAGAAAATTTATCCTCCAATTTCTGAAACGCTTCAAGGGTTTCTTCAAAAGATTGAAACTTTGCGATTCTTTGATAACATGATGCTCATGGATTTGAGGGTAAGCAAGGAAGGGTGTGTTTTGTGAATTTCTTCTATCAACTCCCACGCCTTGTTGAAATTTCTCATTCGAGTTAATATATGAAGTGTTTTTTCAAATGCATCTGAAGTGGGACAGAATTGGGAAAACTGGAGGGAGAATTTGAAGAATTCAAAGGCTTTAAGGCCATTAGAGTGGGATGCAAAGAGATGGCCAAGAACATTTTCCACAAAGGAAGTTGAAATGGTGGTTGAAGGGATAATTTGGGAAAGTTTTGGATGAATGGGTTGATCGGGAAAAGGATGGTCGTTGATGATTTTAGTAATTCTCTTGATTTCAAACTCCAAATCTGAAGAATAGAACCGGAAACCAATGGTGGCTGCTACTGTTAGCTGTTGAAGAAGTGGAACTTGAAGAAGTTGATTGCATCTTCCTAGGAAGAGCATAATCTTAAACAAATTAAGAAACAATATCAGTTTCTATAGGTAGCATATACACGATGAGTTCATCTATTTTCAACAATCTAGTAAAGGACATCAGGAACCCAAATGATATAGCCTCAAAAGATAGCCGAAAGAAGTTGCCAAAACCTTAAATTAAGGCAAAAAAATTTCTGTTGAAACGTTCATATATTAACGAAATAAATTACAACTTCAGTGTAGTATAGACGAGGGTAGGAAGGATGAACGACCATATGACCTATCTATGCGATGGGTTTTCTTGAGGCTATCTTAAAACAACCGCTTAAGAAATATGAGGAAAATTAACAAACACCTGGCGTGCATGTTCCAAAACAGCGGCTAAAGAAAATATAATAAACAGCTTTTAGGCTTTATTAAAGTCCAACATTTAAATACAGAAGAAACCCTTATATTTGTATTCTGATTGTATCAAAGTAATTTACATGCCGACATTTGTAGACATGGCCATGGGTTTTTCTATTTCTAATTTGAAGTAAGGTCACTCCTTTATACAGTTGGACCTCTATATATATTTATTACAAAATAATCTAATCAAACAACAAAATGTAGGCACGAGATAAAACAACAAACAGGTGGTGAGCAAAAGAGGAATATGCAAGGAAGAAACAAAACAACAAACAGAAGAAACCATTTACAGGGGAGAAAAGATATATGAAAAACAAAAACGAAGGCAGACACGTTACCTGAAATGGTTTGCTGTTGTCAATGATCGGTCGATGTATATGGATTGTTGAAAGTAATGGAATGGAACCAAGTCTTGACTGTAGAAAAGAGGTCCAAATCCTATCCTAATAAATAAGTACATTGAATGCCACGTGTCATTCTCTCAGCACCACCTGATCGAATTTTCCTGCCTTTTTCATTAAAGTGAAACACCCAAATTGCCCTTTCCTTCCGTTTAATTTCCTCTCTTCACAGCTCCTGCATTAATTTGAAAACTTCCTATTATATCCTTTGACCGAAACAATAACTCCCTTTAAATAAGGTGATCGGATCCCATTTTAAAATTCAAAAAATTTTATACTCTTTTGATCAATATATATTCACAACTTATACTTGTCTATTTACTTCTGCATGTATATCAAACAAGGAAAGTCATTAATCGACATTTACTCTAAATAACGTAATTAATTATTTCCAACCGATCACAACCTTATTTAACGTAATAATAGGAATTTTATAAAGATTTTATCGATTTTCTTGGTTAAATATTCTCACCTTTCTCGATTTCTTCTTCACACTTCCATTCTTTCACAGGTCCATTGCAAGAGCAGAAGAAAAAAAAAAACATTCTAATCGGCATCCCTTCAATACCTGTAAGTCAAAAATCTTTGAATTGATTTACGGCAAATCGTTAAACACTATACATTTAACTAAGAAAATTCTTACATACATTTAACTAAGAAAATTCTTACATACATTAATCAGTAGATAATAAAATAACATTCAAATCTAAGATTGTTATTCGTATCATACCTTAGAAGAAGAATCGTCCACTAATTCAATATTTTTGTATTTCTAAGTGCTACATCGATTTTTCCTCTGAATCTCAACTCACGACCTCTGCATAAAGAAAGATCGGGTTAATAATCTCTACATCTATTTTTCATATGCATATCATCGATATCTCCATCTGTTTACTCACACACACATTCAATCATATGCAATTAATAATTATATATGATTGACATCCAGTTCAGTTTATATTTTTTCAGTTTTTATTGTGGTTTTGTATTTCCACTTTTTACCATCTACTGTGATTTGATCTTTTACTCTTCATGCTTTCTAACCAAACTACCAACCTACTTTTCTATTATGTACCATTCATTATCACAAATTATCATTCTATGGCAATGATTTATTTGATCCAAAACCGGTGCAAGATGGTAGTTGTAATTTTCTATAAAAACATATTTCTATTACATTTTTACTTTTACTTTACAATATTACTGAACTTACTGACCATAAACATACTCAATGTGGTGTAACAAAACAATATGTAGTCTGAAAACAGTAAGTGTAACAAAACGATTAAACGAAAACAGTCTCTGTGAAGGAATGCAAACATGTTTCATCATCCATTGGGTTGTTGTTAACAAGTATCCATTTTTACTAATACTTCCATGATCAATTTTACCATTATTTTCGTAATCGGTTCAAATTTCCAAGACATAGAGTTGAAGGAGTTGCAATAATAAGTTGAATCAGTTCTAATACTAAGTTACAGTTTACACCTATAAATCTTTTTAAAAAAATGTTTTAAAAGGACTTTTCTCACAAAAATGTATTTCCCTGTTATGATTTTGCTGCAATCGGGAGACCACTAACCATCTATATTTCCTTTAAGCTTTAGGTATGTTTCAAAAACGATGATCTGGCAGAGGAAAAGAAGTAAATTTACAGGTTGTTGTTGTTGTCTGAGCCGAAAGAGACATAATTAAAACCTTGAAATTGGTTATATATTTGGTATGCAAATCGAGAGAGAGGAAAAATCGAGAAACAAGAATGAAGAAACATACCTTTTTGGTTGTTGTTGCGAGAGTGAGGGTCGAGTGAGGCGGTGACCGGTGGGTCTGTTTTTGCTGATTTGTGAGGCCGTTGGTGTGGCTATTTTTGCTTTTCAGTTTTCACGGTGGTGAGTGGCGGAACACCGGTGGTGGTCATCGTTTGATTAGCGAATTAGGTGGTCTCTGTTTGCATCCTGCGAGATGGACTGATGGGGAATGGTCGAGTAGGTGTTGAGTGTTCGTCGATTAGGTTATGATTTGTTATTGTATTCGAGTGTTCAACGGGTCCGTTTGATAAGGGTCGGATCCTGATCAGTTTTAGTGGATGGGTGGTTTTATGGTTGGTTTTGGTCAATACACCGAAACTGAATCCAACTTTTCGATTTTTACAAATTCGAAATCCAAAGTCCAAACCGACGGTATGTGACTTTATCTGTGTGTGTGTAAACAATTGAGTTATTAGCAAGAAACTTTTTTTAGTTGTTTTTTTAATTTTAAACCTATAGTAAATAGCAATGTACATTATTTTTTTCTTTTTTATTTCCTTTATCCTTTTCTAATTCTTTCTTAAACATGATAACATGTTTGTTAACATATGCAAATCAAGGGCATTTTAGTAACTTTACTTTACTGCGGCTTCATATTACCTTTGCTTCATATTAACTTTGTATGGGTTAAAATTACCAAATTGACCAAAAAGTGAAAAATTGTTAAAAAAAGTTAAAAAAATTGTACTTTCTTTTATGTTTGTTAAATGTTATTCTTGACTAATTTGTGTCTGTTTGCATGCATGCTTCACACTTTATGCATTCATGCTATTAAATTTTAATTTTATTTTATAAACCTATATACATTAGTTAATTTATTAACTTTCAATCTCCATTTATTTATTTTATTGTATAATTATTTTTTAGATTCTATTTAAAATTATCACCCGTGGATTCCACGGGTTATAACCTAGTGTCCAATAGAAAAAAGCAAAGCAACATTGTGTAGAGATATGTGCAACTTAAAAGAAATGAACGTACTGTTGAAAAAATAAAAAAAAATATTAATACTTAAAAACCTTAATCATTAGATTTGCAAACGATTATTAATTAAGAAAGTTGGATGTTTTCATTTAGGCTAATATTTAAAAATCTAAAATTTTTGTAAGAAACAAAACTGTGATGAAGTTAAATTAATATATAAGGTTTTTCTTTTTTTGAGATTTACTTCGAGTTTTATTATTATTGTTAGAATTTCTTAAATTCTTGAGTAATATTCGGAAATATTGTTTGAATATTTTGCGTAAACACACAGTAACACACAACCAAAACAGAAAATTTAATCGCCTTTAACTGCATAATAATAGTTTAAAATCCAAGAAATGACCTTTAATGTGGGCCTGGACTTATTAAAGAGTATTCTATTAATTGTAGCAATGTACTTATCGTTCCTTGCGTGAAGCTCTTTTTTGAACTAAAAATGCTAAATTGATTCAAAGTACAATGCTTAAATTAGTATTTGTTTTTAGAATACCTATGTTTTCTAAAATACCCTTGAAAGAAAAAAAAAATAAAAAAAAAAGAAAAAAAAAAAAAAGAACATAGCAGACGCAAGACAAATAAATGTTGTATTTGAAAAAGGATAATGTATTTATAGAGTTTTATTGGACTTTAGAAAGTGAACCTCTAATCTTTTAATACACGTAGGATCCAAAAACTAATATGATTTACTAAACGTGCGTTGTTATTAATCGCATTTTACCATATATTAAATTATCATAAATTACAAATCTAAATTATGATACCGTTCTTGTAACTCTTTATGTTTGTATTGTATAAGATTTTCATAAATGCAAATAAAAGGAAAAAAACTATTTTTATTTATTGTCATAACATTTAGACATACACACATCAACACACATGCACACACTATTTATCTCTCATAGATAGACAACAGAAACTCATAGTTTCTAAAAACCAAATAAAGCAAACTAACTCAAGTTATGTCCATTATAGCATTGTACTTAAAAAGTACATTGGTATAACTGATTTTTTTTACCATTTAACAACCACATAGATAATAAAAAAACAACATTACACGAAAATGACCCCTGATATACAGATTGAAACTTGAATAAGAATACTCGTTAAGATATTAATAAATCATATTTAAGTATGCTATTGACGAACCCTCTGCATACCATACCCGAAATAGGAAACAACATTTTTATATATTTATGATGAATTGTGTATTAATTATAATTGATAAAAAATAAATACCAGTACATGGAATCATGGCAAAAACCAACTAATACGTAGGACATCTTTCTACACCAATTTACATTTTTGTCTACATTTTGCTCCACTTTATTTACATGTGCTCATCACAAGACGGACATGGGGAAATTGATAATACGGTGACATATTTTGATAATATCTAATAACAATTAGCATACAGGTAAGGAAAATACCTTTAGTACAGGCTTTTATCCAAAAAAATATCCTCCTCAGTAACGTGTCCATCATCCATCTATTTTGAAAGAGAATATATTAAACTACAATTAACATCCAATACACACTAATGGTAACGTCCCAAAAATTTCATTTTTTAAATTTATAAAACGGTAATCCAAAACATTGTCATACAACCAAGAAAGACCAAAGTGTATCACTACATCCAGGGCCGGTCCATTGTTTTTTACTACCCGGGGCAAAATAAGAATTTTATGCCCTTATATATATACTATACGATAAAGAAAACGTATCTATAAAATATTTATAAAATAAAAAATACAATAAATTTTATAATCAAACAAATAATACTAGCAAAACCCTACAAAAATCACCTAAAATGGTGTCTTTGTGTATTTTTTTTGAAGCTAAAACATCTCTTATTTTTACAATAATCATATTTTGTAAAAAATAACTTTCATTACTTAAAATTGCTAATATATTCAATCTTTTCTTAAGTCATGATACTTCGAATATACAATTTCAAGAGCTTCAATTTCGAAAAACTTCTTTCCACGGAAGCAACCTTTAACCCTACAATCAACAATATCATATACAACCAACACATTAGTGAACATATCTATTATTCTTGCATACTACTCTTCTTATTCTTCTCTTTTTGTTTTCTATTTTTAGAAGCACCTGATGGTTGTTTTCGGAGAACCATATTTAACACTCAACAAATCTAATTATAAAATATAAGCAACGAAAGATACAACCTGTCTAAAGTTTATGTTTTTCCACTTTCAAGATGTCAAGAGATCTGAAAAATAAACCACATAATACAAAATAAGAATCTATTTCTCAAAACTATTATATTATAACAACAAAACAAATTTATACCTTTTTGCTCCTCTC